GGGCCCCCCGAGGCCCCGCGGGGAGGCGGCCCCGGCCGCGCCTTGCCCATGGCGGTGGCCAGGAGGATCAAAACTTTGCTGACGGTCAACATCCTGGTGTTCGTGGGCATTGTGCTGTTCTCCGTGTACTGCCGCCTGCAGGCCCGCTCCGAGGCGCTGGTGCAGGTCGTGCGCGCTGCCGACCGCCGGGTGCGCAACCGGCTCAGCAAGGCCGGCGCGCTGGCCGACCGCGAGGCCATCCTACAGCGCCTGGACCACCTGGAGGAGGTGGTCTACAACCAGCTTAACGGTGAGCCGGGCCGGGGTCTGGGGGCGTGTGGCCACCGTGGTCCCCCTGGGGAGGAAGCGCCCAGCGTCCTTGGAGGGGACCGTGGAGGTGGCAGGCAAAGGGGAGGGCTCCTCTTGCTTCCTCCGCCGGCAGAGGCCACTGCCTGGGGACAGATCCTTCATTCACTCCTCGGGGACACTTGGCAGCGCACCCCCCGCCCCAGGATGGTGCTAAACTTGCACCCCCAGAGGACTCGGGAACTTCTGAGCAGCTCTTGGGACCACCGGGAGGCAGGCAGCGCCCACAGGAGGGAGTGCTGGCTGGCGCTGTGGGCGGCAGAGCTTGGCCTACTTGCTGCCCTTCCCTGAGGGTGAGGGAGGAGGGGCAGCCATGGAGGCCCCCGGGCCTGGTGTATCCCGGGGTGCACTGGGTATCCAGGGACGCCCAGGCAGAGCCAGGAAGTTTTGCTGTGTGGGAGGAGCCCTAGGTGCCTGGCCTGGCCGGGCAGGGTCAGCTGCCTACAGGGACCCAGGCTGGGGGCTGGGGCCTTGAAACCTTGAGAGCTGGGCTCCTGGAGTCTCTGTCTCCCCAGGAGTGTGGGCTGGGGGCATTGGTGCTGCTGTCCAGGGAGGTCCTGTGAGGGCCGCAGGGGACAGTGCCCCCACCCCTGGGACCACAGGGTGTGTGCAGTGACTGCTGCCCCCGCTGCTGTGCCCAAGGCTGGGGATGGTGAGCGCCTGGCCCCGGAGCTCCTGTCCGCCCGGCTGGGGCCAGCAGCCTTCCCAGGAAGCACAGGTGCAGGCCAGGGGCCGTGGGCGGGCTCCGTCTATACAGTCAGGGTGCCAGGGCCATGGCAGGACCCTGTCCCGTGAGGTAGGGCCACAGACCAGCCCTGGGGCGGCCCGAGGGCACTGGCGCCCTCGGGTGCAGGGTGCCCGCTCTGCAGCTCACCCCAGGAGAGCACAGCACCCAGCTCCCGGGTCCTCCCCAGGCTCCATGGCGCGTGGGCTCTGGGACACGAAGAGGAGAGAGTTCAGCGGGAGCCAGCGTGTGGGTCCGGCCGTGACCCCCGGCAGCCCGTGGGTGCCTCGCCAGGCGCGATGGTCTGTTCTGTGGGGAGACGAGGGTTACATAAAAGCACCAGCAGCGCACGGAGTTGTGTAACACATGGCGGCCGGCACCCGAGTTTCCCTCACCTAGCTCTCTGGGAGAGGAGGAGCCAGGCCCTGAGCCCCTGCTCCCAGCCCTTCCTCCCAGTGGCGCCCCCTCCCCGTCCTCCCCTGGCCTCCTTCCTCCTCTCCCCTCCTTGCCTCCCCATCCTCTTTCTGCTGCGCTCTGTGCTGAGACCCTGGGCGTCCCCGCTGTGATCTGTGTGCCTGGTGCAATGATCGTCCCCTGTTCTTCCAGGAGATGATGAGGAACCCCACAACCTAGCACGGACCCCAGGCAGGTCCTTGAGCAGAGGACAGCACAGCAAGGGGCCGACGTCCGTCCCCCTGGCACAGACTGAAGCCTTCCCCCCTGCCCTGAGTTGGCATAGGCTGTCTGTGTGGAGGGCATGGAGAAAGCCCGAGGGCTTCCTAGAGGAGGCAGCCCGCTGGCTCCATCCCAGCCTGACCTATGTAGGTCCCAGGAAAGTGAGGTTGATATGTAGGAGTTTTACCCGACCCTAATCAGCTGCGTGTAGATAGGAGAGAGATCCAAAGTGAACTGACTGATCACTTACATCCTGACTGCTCCTGAGGCGGGGCTGCGGAGGAGGACGCTCTGGGCTGGGGTGGCCTTCCTGAGGGGCTGTGGCCTGAGGAGTGGCAGGCAGGTCGCTGTCCCATGCCTGCACCCAGAGTCTCTCCAGCCTCTGTAGAGAGCGGAGTGTGGGGGTGCAGCCAGGAGCCCCGGGACCCGGAGGCAGCGTCCTGTGAGGACGCAGCAGCGGGTGCCTCCTCTCCAGGTCACCAGGGCTTTGCTCCTGATTCAGTGTCTCAGCAAGGAAGAGCAGGTCCAGGAACCCCATGCTGCGCAGCAGCCTGTGCGGCTCTGCCCGTGCGGCGGGAGGGACGGCTCTGCGAGGCCTCCTCCTCCTCCTCGGCCCGAGCTCAGCGTCACCCCTGCTTCCGTAGCTGTGGGCATTGGGCAGGTGGAAGGAATGACATGATGCATCCCAGAGGGCATGCGCATCCCCCCGCTGCCCAGCAGCCCCAGGTGGAAGACTCAGGGAGCCCCTGGTGGGCACAGAGCTGGCATGGCGACCCTGACTCACCCAGCTGCTCTTGCTGGAACTGGGCAGGGCCATGGGGCAAGGCCTGCCTGACAAGCTGGAGGCGGCACCCGTTCACAGGAACTTTGTGCGGTGACAAAACTTCAAAGAACCAAAGACCCCCGAGGACCAGCCGAGGGGATGTAGAGGTTCCAGGACATGGCAGCCTCACCTGCTGGAAGGGGTCGCACCCGACCTCCGTGTCCCCCTCAGCCACTGCCGCGCCCTCCCCACCGCAGGTCTCGCTGAGGGCTCAGGGACGCCTGACACTCACGGGCATCCACCCGGGAAGCAGATGTTTCTCCAGACAGCACGGCCGGGGGATGGCAGGATGGGCGGGGAGGAGGACAGGGTGCCAGGGCCGTGGGCTGGAGGCCGGGTCCTCCCACCAGGTGCGGAGTGAGTGGCCGCAGTGAAGACCAGGCTGTGGCACGACCGAGACCAGAGAGGGGAGGATGCAGGGCGGACGCAAGGCTGGACCGAGTGCCCCGTCACCGTCTGGCCATCGCTGTCTGGAATACGGGCTGGGGAGGACAGGGGGCTGGTCCTGCCCTCGTAGCCTGGGACGGTGCGAGCTGGACAGCTGCCCGTGCTGGGAGGTGGCTGCAGATGGCAGAAACAGGCAGAGGAGGCTCCCCCCTGTCCTCGCCCAGTTCAGCACTCCCTGGTTGGGAAGACATGTTTGGCCCAGCTCCTCCTCTGCCTCCTCCACACCCCGCACAGCTGGGGACACGGGGTTGGTGCCTCCTTCTCGTGGTGTCCGGCTGGCATGTCCAGGGACTGCGCCCCGGCATTCCTGCTGCTGGAGAGGACGGTGGGCATGGCTGGGTGAACACACCTGCGAGTCTTGCGCTGTGCTCTGGAGCGCAGCTCTTCCCTGCTGGCTGAAATGTAGCCCAGTCAGTGTGTAACTGTCCACACAGGCTGCCCTGCAGACAGGGTGGGACGCGGCTCCCGGTCTGCATGGTCCTCCCTGGGTGTCAGGGCCCGGTCTGGTCCCCAGCACCACTCTCGGGAAGGGGAGATTGTTTGCAGGGCTCTTGGGGAGGTGTGAGAGCCGCGTCCCCGCCCAACGGTGCGGCCTCTCGCTGTCTCCTCCTCCGGAAGCCCGCAGGACTTTCACACTGCAGCTGCGCAGCCCTGCAGCCCTGAGCCCGGGCCTCCACAGGGGAGGGTCAGGGCAGCCTTGTGTCCTTGGGCTGCTGCATGGGCAGAGGAGGCAGGAGCCCCGGAGCGTCTCTGTGTGCAGGGGCTTCGCAGGGGCTACGAGGAAGGACGTGTGTGAGGCGTCCGGAGTGGCAGGTCCCACCCTGATCTCCTGGGGCCCTGTCCTGGAAGGGTGTCGCTGTGTCCCTGGCCCCTGGGAAGTGTGGGGTGATGGGGGCTGCTGGGTGTCTTTTGAGCCCCGGGCCCCTGCCCGGCGGGTTGGTCTTAGAGCAGTCCCTTCCGAGTCGCTGGTTCCCTGGATTTGCTGGGACCCCAGTGTGTCCAGGAGGGTGACGGCTGCTCATTTGTGGAGGAGACCAAGGTTTCGGGGCCACCCAGAGCTGGGTGGTGCCCGTCGGTGCGAGGTGGCCCCTGCCATCGGTGCCCATGGGGCTCAGGCCAGGGCTCTGGACCCTGCACTGGGGACGTCACTGGGCGGCCCTGGCCGAGGGTGTTGATCACTGTAAGGGGTGGAGCAGCTTCTCCCCCGCGGCCCCCCCACGGGGCCTACAGTGCCCTTCTCGCTGCTGGGACAGCGGAAGTGTCCCCAGAGGTGTGACCCTGCCTCTGGAGCGTGGCACTGTCTTCCAGGCCCCCGAGGCTTACCCTTCACTGGGGCAGGTGGGAGCCTCCCTGGGCCTCAGTTTCCTTGCCTGTGGAGCAGCGAGGGGCACCAGCGCCTGTGTCTGGGGTGAGGAAGAGATGTGCTATGGCACCGTGCCCCCTCCTTTTAAATGGCTGGCGGCCTCAGAGGAGCCGAGCCACAGCGCAGGGACTCTCCCTTCCCCTCTGGCCTTGCTGGCCAGGCAGGACAGTGGCACGGCGAGGGCGGTTTCCAGAGGTGCCAGCCCTGCCCAGGCTCTGGTCTCCGGCCAATGCATCTTCGAGTCTCCAAGGGCTGTGCTTTGTTCTACTTAATATTTTGGACAAATGGTGTGCTTCTTCCATTGTGCATAGTGATCTGTCATTTACTGAAGAAACAAGCTTATTCAATTCACAGGGAGCTGGCAGGTGATACTGGCCCAGGCAGCTTGTGAAGACAGGGGCCCCAGGGAGGAGGGGACACCCAAGTGTGGGGGAGCCTGGGGCTGCAGGCTACCTGGCCTTGTGGGACTCATGGAGAAGCGGAGCTGACAGCGAGCTCCCTGCTGTGCCCCAAGCTCTGCCCCGGGCTCTCTGGCTCTCCGCCTGTAATCCCAGCACTGAGGAGGCTCAGGCAGGAGGATCATCCCAAGTTTAACCCAGTCTGAGCTACATAGTGAGACCCTGTTTCAAACAAGCAAAAACAACCAAACCAAGATGGGCCGTGTGTTCGGATGTATGCTTGGTCTCCTCCTGTCACCTCAGGCCTAACCAGCTGCGGGCAAGGCACTGTGATGGGGCCGTCCTTTCTGCAGGTGGCTGGGTTACAGCCCTCCCTCGGCTGGTGCAGGGAGTAGGTGGGGCTGTCTGGAGAGGAAAGGTATCAGAGAGGGGCTCTGCAAGGCCTGGGGCTGCTGGGGCTGACCGGGAAAAGGTCCTGCTTCCCTGGAGGTGGTTCAGCGTCAGTGCCTGGGCA